ACATGAGGCTGATCTGAATAAGCCCATAAAGATTTCAGTCAATTTTAGCATGAACATCTTTCATAAGTGCTGCATGAATGTAACTTTTGTTTAACGCCAAGAAGCCATAACAAAGGTCAGTGAGCACATGTTGTTGTAATAATTATATTTCTATAAGTACAAGAAAAAAAATAGGGTCATCATAAGAGTCTGTCGTGACCATTTTTCTTCATTCTACACAATGGCGCTCCCATTTATGAGGGAAATATGACACTCAGCCGGAAGCCATATGCAGTGCCCTCAATGCTTGCATGCCATTGAAATATTTCCTGAATGTGTATGCCAGTACTTAAGATGGGCATGTGACTACATGCCATCATTGTCCAGTGCTGTTTGCGAGATATATCAGTGACGGCTTCAAACATGTCCATATTAATTATGTAGGGACTGAAGTGCCGCTGAGGCATCCTACAGTTCACCTTCATTATAGGATGCGACTCATTAGCAAAATGCCACCAACACAGGCGTTTTTACCATCAGCTATTTCTAGGCTGCCGGTGTTTATGTTTAAATCCAGTCAATGAACCTTATGCGAGTAGTACTACTACAGAAAGCTGGGTGCCATTAGAAGTGCCCGCTTTGCCCCCCTTACCTCGGTGACTGCTGCACGGACTCTTGGGAGGCCAGTCTGCGCTGCCACTCATGTGTTAACATTGCCATAGCAACCCCTCTCCTTTCCCTTTCCTTGCCCACAACACACAGAGGGGACTAAATCCTCTATTCTTCACCAAAAAACACACACACACTTGGGGGACATTTTTTGTAGCCCTCCAACCCAAGAGAAACAAAACTCCAAATATTTTATTTGACTGTGCTATTTGTTTATGCCAATATACAAATTGGAAACAAATGAGGATCCATCCCTTTTTCCGCTCTGTAATCATGGCAGTTTTTTACCCCCACTAACGGAGCACCCCAGAATTTTACAAAAGGCGATATTTGCGAATTCAGAATTACTTTGCCAGTCTTGTGACACAAAAATCTGTCATTAAAGGCACTGAAAAGATTCAGAAATCCGCATGTGAAATAAGTACTTTGTACGCCTTCAAATAGGAGAGAAATAATCATTGATGTGATGTGCTGAGTTTGATCACCGGTGCGACACACTCATTAGTTACAGAAAAGAAAGATGGCGGAGCACCATGAATTGTACTGAGTCAAGTGCCAGGTCTCGGCGAATGCCAGACTCCACCATACAAAACCGCGCTGGAACAGCTGAAATACTTGTATGGCCGACACTCCACCGCTAAGCCAAAAGTTTGTCTCAAAATCTACTGAGGTTAATACGGGCTTTACGGGGAGGTTTTTGGGGATATACTCCTATTGTGAAGCTCATTTCTGTCTGTAACTCCACGGCATTCATCCACTCTTTATATTTATAAATTTAATAAGGTAATGTGAGATATCACAGAAGGGCATTTTTTTGTTATTACATGCACAGTGAGCTTTTCATTATAAATAATTTAATCATTTTGACTGCTTTTATAGCACGGATAGCCTCCATAATTATAATTCTGCTTAGAAATATCCAGTTGGCATTAGACAGACAATTCTCTTCTCTTAATTCAAAGAATATTACATAAACCGTTAGCTTTTACTGGAAAACAACACACAATAAAGAGCACACACAAGCGACTTAACATTTAGTCCTTCATTTTGTGCCGTCTTGCTGTTCTAACTGGACACAATATTAACAGAGCAAAGTGTGTATGTATCTACAAATCACATTTTTCTTTGAGTATTTTTATTTTTTATTTTTACAAATTCTCTGTGAAGGTCACGTTCTAAATGGTTTCCTGTTCTAATTGCTCAAAATCAGGATGAAAGGCAATATTGCTATGCCTGATTAGACCAGAACACTAGTACCACAAGGGAACAGACGTTAACCCAAAAACACAAGGACCTATAGATGCATGCATACTATAGTCTACTTTATAATACATACATGTTATTCTTCATGCTAACTTTAAAAAGTGTACTTTAGCAGAAAGTGGAACAGATGCTTGCGAAAGAGAGTTGAGATAAAATGCCCTATGAGCACACCATTCTAAATAATGATTTATTGTGGTATCTGCACGGTTATGGTCTGGAGTTAAATCTGAGTTTGAGTACATTCTGTACCCATTAACAGTTGATAGCGTGTGCTTATCCAGATCTGCGCCAGCTTTAAACTACAGGAACACCCCCGAAGCGTTCGTCATAGTAAAGATCACTTTTCGAAATCGATTATGTGCCAATATTTCCGTGCTCCTCGCCGGTGATCAATCCGAGTTTGAAGTAGGAATCTGACGCGTGACGCTCCGAAATGGACAGACTGTATAGTAACATCACACTAACAGGCACGTTGTAGCGTGCGAATAATTAAATTGAAAGCAGACGAGAACACTGAGTAACAAACTGTAACAAACTGGTAAGTTAACCCTTTCGCTTCACATTGAGGCAGTAACCTCCATCCGGCTAGACGTTTTTTAGCCGGAGTTTGAGTGTATAGCGCGGCGCAATATTTTGGCTATTACCAAAATTTTTAACTAAGCACTCCCATCTACTGTCGCCATTTTATACATAGGGGCGACTTCACGCGCCGCATATGAGTAGAATAACAAGGCACGCTTCTCTATACTAGAACTACTTTTGAGGACTGTTCGCGTCATCTAAATAATTCGCTTTCACTTCTTTGAAAAGTCAAAGTTCCCTACCTTTTCGTCGGCTCTGGTGACTGCGAATGGAAATCCGTTATTGATACAGAAATGAATAACATTTAGGATTCGCTCCGCTCCGGTCTCAGGGGAACAGGAGGGGCCGAGACCTCTCCTCAGATGAACCCTGTGAACTAACGTGAACCCGTCGGGTCACCGCGATAAGGAGCATCTACTGCTTTATGGCACAGTGATTATGTGCCCGGCTGACATGGGCGCTGCTGGAGTGGCGAGAAGGGAAAGAAATGCACGCCAGGCGCTCTCAAATAAGGGCACGTGATTAAAGCGCGTCACCCAAACCCAAAATCCTGATCCTACCCCTCTCTGTTCTAGGACGGGCTGAGCAGACACACTGAAGGGAGTGACTCATGCGCAAATGTCTAATATAGCCAGAAATATGGAGCAGCGCTTTCGGTCAGTAGGTCGTGTAAGGACGAGGGGGGAAACAACCTAGTATAGAGATCATCAGCATGTGCCTACTACATATATTACAAACGCATGTTTGGAATAACCGTAGAACATACGGAATGTTTCGTGCAGTAGCTATTCCAATAGAAGAAGAAGAAGAAGAAGAAGAAGAAGAAGAAGAAGAAGAAGAAGAAGAAGAAGAAGAAGAAGAAGAAGAAGAAGAAGAAGAAGAAGAAAAACAAAACAGAATAGATTAGAGCCACGACCAAACTAGAAAATATGGCGCTACATGTAATGTTGATTAAATGTTTTAGGATATTATTAAAATAAAATAGAATCTCTATAGCCACAAAACCAAACTGGAAATTGTGCAACATGCAATACACATTATTGTTACAATGGAATAGTATAGGCTATTGGCACATAACATAGGGGAAATGAATGTGAAATGCAAATGTGTCCTTGGTTCTGCCAGATTTACCACTAAAATCATGAACAGTTTCAGAAACACTGATTACAATATATTTTGAGAGGGTCATATAAGGTGAAAGTAAATCTGACAGTTCCCATATACTGCTCCCTGAACTGATAACCTATAGTCAACCATGAGTGCAACCAACACCATCCTGTCTATTATCAACAGGTTGTGTGAAACTCAGTATTTGTATGAGGGCACAGAAAATTCGTATAATGTTTCAAAGTCTCTACTTTTCTTTTCTAGGACGTGGTGGTAGACCTGCTATCCAGGGGCTCCCCCTCACGCCACACTGGCAATTACACCTTCAGACGTACAGCTTTTTTGACAGTACAGGCAGAGATGAATCTGATTGGATAAAGCACGAAAACACCTACTGTCCATTACGAGACGGTTGCCATGCGGTTTGGGCTTTTCCTTCATTAAGCTCGAACTTTTATTTTTTATTTTTCAGTGTGAATGCATGGTGGACATTATAACTTTCTTATATAGAGAACACTGGGGTTAGTTGTCACAATTAGCCTACTATATCTCAGTAATAAAAATGTTTTTGCTATAAATATGTTTTTTTCTAGCACTGGTTTTGTTTGTTTGTTAATTTTTTTTTCATGAATTTTGTCAACAACAAAAAAATACAATATTTGTCATATTTCTTGCTATATCGGTTGAATAATCAAGTGAACATGAAATCACAATACAATCAAGAAAGGGTCACCTATATTATGAAATAAACTATTGAAAGGCATGCAGTGATAAACTGTTCTCAGGACTAATTTAATAAGTGCCAAGTTGGGACGAGTCATGTATTTTAAATGCTTCAAAATTAAATATAATTTTTTTTTCCCAGAATTTCTTTACAATTTTAATTTTGCTCAAAAGCCTGTTTATTATCAGACTGACAACTTCCTCAATAGTGATCACCCTTGGCAATATTACACTCCAATATATATTGGTGCTTGGGTATATTGTAGCTTTATACTTTTTAAAAAATAAACGAACAATAAATTATTATTTATTAATAACATTAATATTGTTAAAATGTATAATAAAGCATGCATATTCAGTAATATTAGTGCTGAATAACTTATCTAATTTTTTAAGTTAAAATAACGAGTTACTTTAACAATGAGAATTATGGATGAGGGCATTTATAAGGAGTATCATTACCTGTATTTTATGAGGCCGTACGTTTCCGAACACCACACCCTCGTAAATATTTCACATTTGACGGGGAGAATCACAACACACGCCCCCTTTGTTTGCCTCCGAATTCAAACTCTTAGCCAATAGGCGCAGAGCAGATTGTCCAATGGCGTTCTTTCTTGGTGGACACGTGACGCAACAACTCGACTGGCAACAATGTAGCGACCAATGGCTGTCTGGCGGTGGGATGGGATGGGATTGGTCCTCTCTGAAAGTACAGAATACAGGTGTCCGAGCCAGAGAGTATAATTGAATTTAGGAAACGTTAGTGATTAATAAACTTTCAGTTATGGCTCTATCCCAGTGTCTTGAAGATTCGCCGGGCTGGCGGACACCAAGACGACCAAGCCAGGATATAAACGTTAAAGAACTTTACAATGAGAGACACCGACTCGCTCTGGAGGAGCTGGTCGCTGGCGGAGTCGATTCCTTTATGGGATTCCTGCAGAAAGAGAGAATCCCTAACTTTCTCTCCGACGAAGAGATCAGGCGGATTTCACGCGCTTCTGTTGTGCCCAAATCACTCTCTTCGATCGGAGACGATTCTCATTTGGACCAATCTGGCACACTGGACTGCTCTTCTGTCACTTATTTCCCCGAGGTCTCTGACATTGAGCCCCCAGTTTTAGAGAATGGCTGGCCAGCGTTCACTACAGGGTCGTTCCGGGGAGTAACGCGTGCTGTCGCCTACTTCCAGCCGTGTTATGGAGACTGCATTTATAGCTGCAAAGAAGCGGCCAGGAGGATGATAAAAAATGCAAAGGAGGTATTGCTTGGCCCGGACTGTTAAAAAAGTTGTATATGAGCCACCAAGATACTGTTACGTAATTCATCTGTAGCAATAATTAATTTGTTCTTCCTTGTGCTATGACAAGGTTTAACATTTAATCATTAAAACTTTGAAGTAGCCTATATTTGTTACTTGAAGGCCTTCATTCGGAAATGACAATAATCAAATAGTTACTATCATTCTAAATGTACTTATTCTTCTTATTCTTTTTTTACTAGGCTACTAGTTATATCCCTATTAGTGACAAGTAACTATTCCAATGTAACTGGTAACATTTAAATTTACCAAAATTCTGAACAGATCTGTGGTGCAACTTTTGCAATGTGTTCCAATTGTTGCTGGGACCTATTTTATATTAGTAAATATTTAGTTACTATATTCCATTTTTGGTAATGCTTCCTTTTACGGTACAGTACTTAGTGTACTTACCTAGAAAGTACTGGTTAATATAGGGTAAGTACATGGAACAGGGGTAGGTTCAGGGTTAGTACTAGTTATTACCCAGTAATTGCAGTTACTAAAATAAGTACATAGTATTTACATGGGTAACTGGACTGTAAAAGGAAGCGTTACCCCATTTTTCTTAGTTCTTATTGAATATGCACTATAGTAGTCGTGTACTTACTTATAACAGTGGTAACGAATAGCTATACTCGTAAAATGGAAAATAAGATTGATTAAAATAGATACTAGTAATTTATAAGGGATGTACAAATGTATTTTCATAATAACAAGTCTTTACTTTTATTTATTTATTGTAAATAATATGGGAAATGTATTTGTTCTCAGATTTCCCTGCTTAAACTTTTAAGAGGATTTAATTTATATATATATATATATAAACAATCCGTCTTGGGGAAAAAACCCCAACTTATTTCAGTTGTTTTAGTCAAAGATTAGGTTTTCAGGTGATGGGAGGGTAAGTTTGTGCTCTGGATCTTAAGTGTGGAATGGCAAGAATGTGCTGAAGCGTCTATCGCACAGAACTGTTACCTCTAAAAGGGTCTGAACTTGGAGGTGCCACAACAGGCTCTTCAGTCCTTGAACTGAAGGGGGTTTTGAGCTGAATGTATTGAGGTTATACCTCCAGGCAGTCTGGATCTGTTCCAGCTTGCATGTACTTAAAGGCCAAATGTAATAAAAATCATCAAGGTGTGTAGCCAGCGGCTGTTCAGTCATGACAATCATACGAATGAGCTAGAACATCGAGTTCAGTGATGCCGAAGCTCTAAGCTGTAATAGTATAGCTGTAATAGTAATGCTTTGTTAATATCTGATTAATAATAAGTGATTTTTATCCTAAGGTGATTGCCGTTGTGACAGACTCCTTGACAGACCTGGATATCTTCCATGACCTGCAGGAAGCTTGCACACACCGCAGAATTCCTGTCTATATTCTTTTAGACCAGTCTTCTGTCCAGCCATTCTTACAGATGTGTAAAAACCTTCGTGTACAGCTTGATGAACTGCTGGTATGAGTTTACAACTTAAAGCTATTCCACTTTGTAATCTCATTATTATCTGTTAAATTAAATATTGTTTTCATATTTAAATATATTTCACATTTTTTTATTTTTTTTGTTAGCAAATGAAAGTACGGACCATAACAGGCTCTACCTACTACATGAGATCAGGTGCTCGGATCACTGGAAAAGTTCATGAGCGTTTCATGCTGATTGATGGGAACAGAGTGGCTACAGGTTCATATAGGTATTAGGACATGTATACATGAAAACGCATGTATGGCTTTCTTTCTTCTGTGCAACACAAAACAATATATTTCAAATATATTTATAAGAAATGTCTCATTGTTGAAACTTTCACTTTCTTTGTGTTGTTCAAAATGATTTCTGTTTTCATTTTGTGTGGGTGTGACATTGTACAATCAATGATTAAAAAGAAATGACCATGAAATATTTTGCAGAAAATTAATACAGTTTATCTTTGTCAGACAATCAGTAAATAATAGTCGAGGCTAAATGGCACTTTCTTTTATCTACAGGTTTAACTGGACAGATGGCAAACTCAACAGCAGCAACCTTATTGAGTTATCTGGCCAGATAACAGAAAAATTTGATGAAGAGTTCCGCATCCTCTATGCTCAGTCCCTACCGCTGCCTCAGAATACAAGAGCCCCCTCTAGTGCCAGAAGCAGCGTTTTATATGACCATCTTGTCCTCAAACCACCTGGAACGCCTCCCTCCTTCTTGGCACGAACAACAAAGCCTCAACCAGAATGTCTGACGAGCACTCCAGCCAGACTTCATACCCCAGAGATCCAACAGATGAATAAAGACATTGAAGATCGAGACAGAAAGAGTAACCCAGTTTCTGATACTTCCACTGTAGGTGAAGACTGGATTGAGCAAGAACTCAGAGAGGAAGCGCTCGCCTCGGATGACCGTCCTTGTTTGCCGGCAACGAATGTTACTACTCCGACTCAGACAGTCGATGTGATGATCTCTCTCCCTGTACCTTCCTGCCACATCTCAACACAAACGACCTGCCACACCGTAGACACGAGTGTGCAGACATGCGCCGACAACAAGCCTCAGAGCTCAAGCCCCAAATCGCACACCTCGTCCAGCAGCAACCAGGTCAACCCCAGTGCGTCGTCCGCTTGCAACTTTCAGGAGGTGGACTGTCACCCACCTGTCTGTCTTGCCCCTCAAGACGCCAACCTGAGGGAATGCTTCCTCAAGATCACTAAAGAACGACAGCACCACTACAGCTCCATTCGCTCCAAACTCGACCACATGGTGACACTGCTCTCTCACAAGAGGGAACTAGTGGACCTCACCAACCTGACGCTGACGCCCGGCCTGCACAGGGGACGCAAAGGTCAGCAGGAGGGCAGGCAGGTTCACGGTACACATGACAATGTTATTATGGGAACATGGCCCAGGTCGAGATGTCTGCAGTAACATGAGGTGTATTGGTGTTCGTCTGCTGTTTTAGTATTGCACTTTTTAAAAAAGCAGAACAAAACTTAATCAGAAAACATATTTTGAATGATGTTATGTGACAATCAATGCAGTGTAAAAGTGGCAAATGTGCAAAGATACTACTTAATTCTACTTATTTTTTAGGATGAGGGAATTATTAGCAGTCTTTAAATACTGTAGTCAAAAAACAAAATTCTTTTCTTTTCAGTGCTATTTTGAAATCCAGTTTTGTCTTTATTTGGTTGTTTCTGTTTCTTCATTGTTTGTTTAAAGTTGTGAAGTTATGAAAATAACTTTTTTGAACACTATTACTGTAATATTCATATTAAAGAACAGTCACTCATGGGGATATGTGTTTGATGTGTTTTGACTCTTGGATGATGTTAGCGTAAAGACTGAATCAAAGCAGTTTTGCTAAATTAGAGACTTGATACTTTTACTTTGCTTGAGGCAGTTCAATATTTATTTCACCAAGGATGCAGATAAAGCAAAAGCTAAATTATTTATGATTGCCTCATATTAATAAAACAACAAATTAATTGTTTATTGTATATTTTTGTGGGGTTGTGGAACTAAAGCCCAATTTATTTCTGCGTTGACCTCTCGACATAGCTTCGTCGTAGGCTGTGTGTTGCGGGCGTACCCTGACGTGCACCTCTCCAAGATTGTAACAACGTATCAATTCTACGCGGACGCAAGCGCTGTGATAAAACGTATAAATCAGCCTTTATTTATAAAGGTTCAATTAGTAAAGCATATTACATTCAGCTTAAAGGGTACATATCATGCTCTTAAATCTTTAATTTTTACATATAAATCATACATTTGTGGTCTATGTAAGCATAACTGCCATGCTTGGGTCTGAATTCCTCATTATTATAGCTCCACAGGCCCCTTTTCTGATGTGCGTCTGTAAGCAACCTGTTTTGAAGCGGCCTCTTTAAATAAAACAGAGATGTGTCATACCCCGCCCGCTCTCCAGGTCGCTGAGTTCACGGTCGGTTCAAATCCATCCCGTTCATAGTATAATTAGCGAATCACGAGTATATAAGAACATTTTTATTCATATGTTAACAAAATGTCAACAACGGAAGACTTGTCCATCAACCCTTACATGTTCGAGCCAGAGCGAGCGATTTGAAAAAGACGACGACGAACCTGAAGAACAACGTCTTCATATGGATGTATTATTGCAATTGTATGTAGTTGTATTGTGTTCTAACTGAAAGTCGATTATTTCTCTTGTTAAAACAAGCTGACAAGATAAATGACTACGGTCTAATCTTACCACTAAAATCTGTATAATATGATGCGTTTAGAGAAGCATCAGGAACAATAATACTGCAGACGTGTAACATTACTTCAAAACAAAAACAAAGAAAGACAAAGGTACATGCTAAACTATGACCACCATGTGTTTTGAGAAAATAAAGTACTTTATTTTTTATTAGCGGTATTTACAGCTTATCAAAATGCTCTGTTCGTCGTCTCCAAAGATAGAAGTAATTTTAACCCTCATTCAGACGAAGTCTTCTAAACCCTTCTTTATACTGGCGGATGTTGCTGAAGTTGGAAACCTTGAAGTGCGTCACTACATCCAACAACTGAACATTTTCGGAGACCTGCCTACAGTCCCCCACCCAGAGTCCCGCATTCTCAGACCCCTCGTTTTTCGAGACAGCGCCTCCTATGAAATTGTATCGGATAAACATGTGAAGAACGTGGCACGCCGAAACGTGAGTATCGTCAATTTTATTTAGCGAATTGTAATAGGCTACTCATTCGATTTCTTTTTTAATCAAACTACTTTATAGCTCATCGATACAACATATGAATAGTCCATTTAATAATTGTAAAGATAGTTTGTAACAAAATTTGAGCTGTTAATGCAGGCTATGTTTTTTCGTCCACTGTGAGAGACATAATCTAAAATTTTTGTTTTAGATATTTATTTGTATGATACAGCTGCAAAGAAGAATTCTGACCCTCAAAGATCTGTTAGTCTGCCTCCACATCCACCTCCATGCAAGATCTCACCTCGTGGGGTCTCAATGATCCTAAGAAAGATGAGAAATTAGCCCAGAACTACACGACAGGAGCTGGTCAATGACCTGAAAAAAGCTGCCACTGTTTCCAAGTGTAATACACTAAGACGTCATGGACTTGAAATCATGCATGGCACTGTAGGTTCCCCTGCTTAAACCAGCACATGTCATCATGTCTTAAGTTTGCCAATGACCATTTGGATGATCCAGAGGAGTCATGGGAGAAAGTCATGTGGTCATATGAGATCAAAATAGAACTTTTTGGTCATAATTCCACTAACCGTGTTTGGAGGAAGAAGAATGATGAGTGGGGTGTGAGCATCATGCTTTGGGGGTGTTTAGGGCGACTGCACTGTATTAAGGAGAGGATGACAGGGGCGGCTGGCCTACTTTTTCCAAAAAGAATCGGTACTTTTGTCAAAAAGAATTATGTAACAAAATAATAATGTAACAAATGTATATTTAGACTGTAAGAAATTGTAATTACATTGTAATAAACATTTAGCATGGTAATGTCTAATTACATTTTAACAAATGTATAATTACATTGTAATAAAAGTATAATTACATTGTTAAAAACATAAACACAACACGGTAATGTATAATTACATTTTAACACATTTAAAAAAGATATTTATTCATAAATATGTCCTCAATGGTGTACAAAAACCTCTGGCATTTATCTGACTTATCCTCGTAAACGAAGAATTTATTATCTTTATATACATGGGACGAGTAGCTCCATGGAGGCTTCCGCCATCTTGAAAAAATATAATAGCAGAGAGGGACATAAAGTACTTGGCCAGCACGTTTCCACAACGCTTTTTTCGTTCAGAGTTAACTAATTACAATAGGTCATGTTTTTCACAGTCAGTAATTCATACTGTAACATTCGTTTATTTGTTGTGTCAAGTTGCTGTTTGTTTATAATAACAGACCTGTGCCACCCGAAGGAACACTTAACGAAGTGCTAATCCCGTCATAGCTTTTTGGTACATAATGGTTGCCAATGCAAAGTGCACTTGAAAAAGCGAGGCACTGGAGAGCACAATTCATATGAATGCAAAATACATTTTCACCGCTAGATGGCAGCAATTCCTACACAATGTCCCTTTTACATTGATTTAATTAAAAAATGTAAATTTTAGGGTTAGTGATGTCACTAACCCATGAGGAAGCTTGTGTAGTTCCTACCAGTCGTTTGTTGTAGCCCCTAAAAAACGATTTCTTTAAAAGCAAATATCTCCCTTTGCTTTGAACTTTGACCGTTGAAACTTTGCAGATGTTGTTTTTGGTCAAACAGCAACATTACACACTAACTAAAGTTAGAAAAGTGAAACCATAATCAACCACCCCTTTAACTGCCAGTGTGAAAGCGGCGGTATGTTCAAACCGGAGTTGAACAAAGATGGAAAGACTCAAGAAGAAGTGAAAACAGAACGCAACAGGACATTTATGATTGGTTAGGTGATGAATTTAGCCGAATTTATCGTGTAGTCATTGATTAGCATGTTATGTCATGATAATCTATAAATCGCTTCCCGGGGGTGGGATTTATGTAAATTTTAGCGTAAGTGATGAAGAATAAAAACTTCAGGATTTTAAATGAGTGATGTAAAATGAATAAATAATGTGATTTCTACACTATTAGTTAAAATAATGTAGTGAATCTCGCATAAAAGGTTTTCATTCTGACTCCTTTGCAAGAGTTATTTAAGCAGATACAAACAGAACAAATATAGGGTATGTAAAAAACAGTGGAATATCAAGAGGAATTCTGTCTTCATGTAATACCAGCAATAGTCCTCTGCTAACTGAAGAGGGCGCTATCATCTTGCACCTTGCCAGTATACTTCACGAGCTTGGTGTATTGTGGGAAAATGTATACATAAAATCTAAGAATAGCCTACTCTAAAATCACTTTGGATGCAAGACGATGGTTTACTGATAAAAAAAAATCAGATAATAAAAGGTTTGGTTATTTTACAAATAAGGCACACACACACTGTTCAAAAGTTTCTTAAATTTTTTTTTTCTACAGAAATTGATATTTATTCTGCTTTTACTATACTTTTATTGAATTAAACTGATAAAAGTCATTAGATCTATATATTTACAATGTTACAAATGATTTCTGTTTCAAATAATTGCTGTTCTTTTCTGGCCTCAACTTTCGAATGGTACTTTATATTTGTGTTTTTCCCACACAAGACCAGACTCTTATTGATTACTGGATCATTTGGAAGATTTATGCATACTGCCTCATAGCCCAAATGGCAACATATTGACGGATGACCCTCTTAGATGTGTGTTGTTTACTGTACATCTGCAGTGATTGTATATAATGGATTGCTTATGTAAATTGTAATGACATCTTAGCATGTAAAAGTGCATTTTAAAAATGAATAAACAGGACATAAATATTTTCAAAATGAAATTCAAGCAACGAAGGCCTGGATAAATACTGAAATTAACATTCAGATCCTGTTTAATACCATCAATTATCATACTTTCAAAAGTCACCCCTGAGGTTTACTATTGATAGCTTGATTAAACAGAACAACAAGTGATTGTTGGCGGTTAATTATTTATCTTGTTTTCATGAGTGTTTTGAGCCACATCCACCCCCTCAGGTACTGCTCAACGACTGTCCAATGATCGCAGCCTTAATCACTCCTCTTGTGTAATGAAACCTCCTTGTGTTTTTCAAAGCAGTTGTTACAGTTCACGCTTAATCAGAACACTTACAGTCTTTTTCTCTGCCCAAACCCAACCATGCATGTAGGCCCATAATTTAATAACTGTTCAAAATGAGATGCATCTGTGCATTACAATGGCATCTAAAGTTCCTACTTTTATGTATTATCTTTATTTGAACATTAGTTCAACCAAAAATTAATTTACATGTAATGGTATGACTTGCCCTTTTTATGTGGAATATAAACAAAGATATTTTCAAGAACTGTTTTTTCCATATAATGAAAGTCAAAATAACATTGGACCCCATTGACTTTCATTGTGGAGACAAAAAAAAAAGAGAACATTTTTCTAAATATATTTGTTTGTATTAAGAAATAAAGCCAGGCTTGGAACAACATGAGGGTGAATGGTAAATAAGGTCCAATTTACAATAAGGTCTCATTTGTTAACAGTGATGCCGGTAACGCGTTACTAAGTAACGCGTTATTCTAATTTGACCCCTTTTTTCAGTAACGAGTAATATAACGCGTTACTATTTCGAAACCAGTAATCAGATTAAAGTTACTTATCCAGGTCACTGTGCGTTACTATTTTTGTAATTTTT